ACCACCACCACCGCCGCGCCGCCGCTACCATCACCACCAATGATGACAAGGGCAGAATCCTTAGAGCATCGCTGTGAGAACCGAACCTATACAAATTTTGTGAAGCCCAAAGCCCGGAATGCATCAATCCGTTGCCTCAGGCATGGTCACCTACAAGGTCAGTACACAGCAGGTGTTGCCGGAAGCAATAAGGAGACGTAGGTCATGTCCTTGCTTCTGAACACTGAGCACTAGCAAGCCAAACAACAACTGAAAATCCGAACCGCGGCTGTAAGGTTTGAAGTTCGCGCAATCAAATCTGACCTCCTACGCCCTGTACAACACAGAATGCCTTCAGGTGGCATCATGGAAGGTGAGGTGATGGCATTCAGCTGCTTCTGGCAATGCTGTCGTGGTTAAAACATGGAGCCATCGCAGGGAAATTTGGGAAAGCTCGGGGAGAACCCAAGTCCGGGTGTAGGACCCGAGTTCTTTCTAGAACGTTCATAGTTTGCTAGGTCCTACGTCTAAGTTCCACGTCTAGCCTATTGGGAGGATTGGGCGGAGAGCTCGGGCTCACAGGTCTACAACTCGAGGTGTAGATGCATCTACGCCCAAAACCAGAATACTTACTGTAGTACTCCAAGTACTGTCATCATCAAGGTGCTACCCTGACCTGCGGAGTCAGCTTTAGATTTTGGGATTCAGGCCGTATGATTTGAACCACGGATTGGGGAATCCAGCCTGTTCCAGCTCCTGTTCCAACTGGGTAATTTTAGGGTAGTACTGGGGTTACAATGGGATAATGGAAAAGAACATGGAAACTATAGGGATTATGAGGCTATATGTTTCGGATATTATTGTAGGGCTCAGTGTACCCAAAGGTACTGCTCCATGAAGCCTCATGCTGCCGAAAAGAGAACTAGCGCTCTTCAGGACCAGGTCCCTTCTTCATCCGAATCGCTCTGATTGGCGACCTGCTTACTGGGGCCAACAAAAATGCGCCTGCCGCCCAAAGCGATTAAAATTCCATATGCCTTGAGCCATCTGAACCGCTGCACATTTACCTCGGAACGCCTGAGGATGCTAAGTATGCTAGCAAACTCCCAGCCGCCTTTGAACTGTGGAAGATACTCGGATCTTCCATCAAGAGAAGAAGGCAGTTGATGAAAGGGTTGTGTCGAACTGCACAAGACGAGAAAAGGGTTGCCATGCAGCCGTAAAGGTCCTCAAGAGTGAAACCTGCGGTTTCAGACCATGCGGGTACTTATGCTGCAACACTATGAACCCCTACATCCCCTAATATGCGCAACGCGGAAAGAAAGTATCTGGCGTATTGAGGTCATAACTACGGTGAACCTCCACGTATATAACCCACTCCTCCAGCATGGCATTGATGCACCCTGGACCCATAACCCTCAGTCCTTTGTCCTAAACCCGGGTGGGGAGCGATCCGTAAACTATCTCAGCAAATAAAACTCATGACTTGGTAGTAGAACAGTCATCATCAAATCGATAACAGACAACGCAGACACAAGATGTGCTGTCCACGTACGGGCTCTCTGGTCATCTCAAGGGGAGATTGGAACACAGCAATCCTCCAAAGAAAACCAAGAGAAATCCTTTCTGTGTCGCCTGGAGCACGGCGACTGACAAGGATGGATCCAGAGTTATGCCTCGTTGTCCTGCACAACAGCAAGGAAGGAATTCTATATGCGCGGAGTTACCAGTTAGGTAACCTTACATAAGGCTTGCCTAGGGAGACTTGGACATTCATTATCCCTCACCACCACCACAACAATAGTCATAGGCCATACGAATACATGAGGGACAGAAGAAGCCGCAATCGTGGTGACCATGACAGTCCTAACATCAAGCATCGAAATTCTATCCACGGCATGACTTTGAGGATTTCTACACAAAATCGTTGCGGTTGTGGCCATACCTAAGCCCGAAATCCCTAAACCCTAAAGCCGTCAAACCTAAACCCCACACCTCTAAAACCTAAACCCCTAAACAGTAGGGAGCCGAAGCTGAATGAACTACTACTTGGGACTTGTTCTTGTTTTAGCAGGGGGCTTCTGGATTGCCATGTAGGAGCTAGTCTTGTAGTTGGAGATAGGGGGAAGGGAATAGATCATTCTCTCTCAGGTTGGACTTGTGGGCCCCCATTAATTTGGGCCCTTATTCCTATATATGGTCCTGCGCTCTGC